AAATTTGTTCATCGTGGATTCAATGAAAACTAAATTTCCAACACCAGATGCTGCCATACAGCCCCAGACCATAACCGATCCTCCACCGTGTTTTCCGGTGTTGGTAATACACTTATCATCAAAGGCTTTATTTTTGGATCGCCAAACCTTAGGAGGTTTTTTCGATCCAAATATTTCAAATTTGCTTTCGTCTGTATACAAARTGTTGTCCCAGAAGTTTGCAGGCTGATTTATATACTTTTTTGCAAATTCCAAGCGCTTCTGTTGATTCGCCTTTGATATGTAGGGCTTTTTGCGTGGTACTCTTCCATGCAAACCACTTCTGTGCAATGTTCTCCTTATTGTACTGGCACTTACGGATTTACCCGATGTCTCTGCTATATCTTTTGATATTTGGACAGCGCTTGAAAGTGGATTTGATTTTACTTCCCGTACTATTGATCGCACTTCACAGTCAGTAAGGCGTTTTGGTCGGCCCGGCCGTGGCAAATTTTCAACAGTCTGATGTTTACTGTATTTATCAATAATTTTTTTTATTTTACAATGGTGTCTCCCAACTATGTGTCCGATTTCGCGCAAAGATTTACCTTTTTTCTAATATGATTTTTCGAGTTTCAGTAGTTGTTTGCTTGCCCGTTACAAAATATAATATTTTTGCGACATAACATCAGAGATAACAAATGGGATATGAAAAAATATTCTTTACTACACTCACTCGCTTGAATAGTAACGGTTTCCAAATAATATTTGTCGCTTTTCCAAAATAAGTATTATAAACAAACAACGGTTGTTGCCACTGTTTACTTTTTTTTTGACGCGATAAAACGAGAGTATTTGTAATTTAAGTGAATTATTTTTGGCTGTGTTTAGTTTTTGTTTATTATTTATACTAAGTTAAACTCTTATAATATAAGCCTTGAATTCTGTAATACAACTTTTTATTGTTGCATTAAAGACTGCGTTGTTATAAACACTTTAATATTGATAGAACTGCTGTTTACTTATTTTTGACGCTCACAGTATCTCCAGCATGAATATTACAAGCGCTCCTATCGATAGTGTGAAAATGGATGAAATTGGAGGATAACCCCGCTCACTCCCCATATAACGGTACTGTTAAAAACTACTAAAAGCGCGATAAATCAATAACTAAATATGCCAGAGACATGAAATTTTACCACCGAGGTGATACACGAGAGCTTTATGAGAGCCGGTGTGAAAATTAGACGATGGGCGTAGCACTGCCCACATTTTGGTGAAATCCCATATCTCGGAACTCGACCAACCGATTTCGACAAAATTTGGGACGTATTTCTATATCACGTCATGAAAATGAGCGGACAACAATCTAGCACAATTTTAAATTCCACTTGATTCCTTCATTTTCCAGCACACAAATCATGAAGAAATTAATATAATATAATATAACGAAAACATTAAGTTAGGAGGCGCCGTTGCTCAAAAGCTTTATTAAAAAATTGTTATTTATTAGAGCTGTAATATTAAAATGAAAGTTATTAAAATCATTTACATCGTTTATTATAATAGGAAGTGGGTGGTGGTTTTTAATATCTTGTTGTTGTTGTTTTAACGGTTATCAGTCCCCGTTGGGATGGTGAGGGTTATCAGTGTTGTCGTCGATGTCATCTAACGGGAGGCCCAGGAAACGTGCTGTTTCGACGGGGTCGGACCAAAGTTAAAAGGGTGTTAGATGGGTGGGGTTGGTTGGGCATGCTAAGAGGTGGTCAGTGTCATGCGGAGACTCGTTGCATGCAGGACATACGTTGGGTATGTCWGGGTCTATTCTGGATARGTAGGAGTWTAACCTGCTACAATATCCAGAACGAAGTTGCGCAAGGGTCACTCGCGTTTCTCGCGGCAACTCGAGCTCTTCGTCTGCTAGCGTCCGAGGTCCGGGACCGGCCGGCCGATTGCCTTTTAAGTTGCCAACAACGTTATTTCCCCATGTGCTGCCGGCTAACGACTTGAGCATTTTGTTGCGGCTCTGTACTTTGGCGATAATCGCGGTCGTATGTGGAGAGAGGAGCATACACTGTCGAAGGTGACACCTAAAATCTTAGGGTTATTGACAGACATATTCGTGAATATGGTCGCTGTGGATTTGGTAGGGGAAAGTTGGAGGTTCCGTGCAGTGAGGAAACGTGAAAGGTCGGAGAGGTAGTTGTTTACCTTCGAACACTTGCCATCGATTCCATTGCCCGACGTCAATATCGTACAGTAATCAGCGTACGAGGAAGAGGACACCAGGTGGGTGTTTCGAGATGTAGAAGTTAAGCGGTAGCGGGGAGAGGAAACAACCCTGCGGAACACCCTGTTTAATTCTTCTCAGTTTAGATGTTGCGCCTCGAAATAGTACGGATGACTGACGACCGTTCAGATAGTTCATGCTCCACCTCTTGAGCCCTGGAGGAAGCGAAGTTTTCTCAATGTCCTGCAGTAGCGTTGTGTGATTGATCGTGTCAAAAGCTTTTGACAGGTCCAAGGCTACGAGGATCGTTCTCTCACAGGGTGCGTTTTCACCACGAAGTAGCGCACCTATATTCGGGTGATATCCTGTAGGGCAACATGTAACTGGGGGGATGTATATATTAAATGTATGTATAAATATATATATCGCCTGACCGGAGAGCTATGCCCTGACATTCTAGGGTAGTGTCCCTGCGGTCGATGTCTTCATCGATTAGACGTCAGAGTCAGAGAGGGAGCTATGTTGCCTAGTTGAGCTCCGGGGGACCGTGGAGGTCATTTGTGGGCCGTAGAGGCTAGCGTCGCAGTATTGCGTAGGCAAAATGCGGCCACGTAACGCGTGGTCCACTCCCTATGGGTCTTAAGGMCTGAGCAGGTCTTAAGATGGCTCCATCCATTGCATGTGTTGCACCTGACCGAGGTGGAGTTTGGATGGAGCCTTTTCGCGCAAACGCAGCAGAAGAATTCCTCCGGGCCCGGGTTGGACTCAATGCCTGCACAAGTCAGGAGAAAGCGGAAACATTCACCGATCTAAACGGGGTTAGATCGCCGAAAGAACAGCCCTTGGTGGGATGAAACCCGAGTCAATTCAGGTACCGTAGAACCGTCTGTCGTGGAAACTGGTTTTTAGTATCATTGTTGGCCGCATGTTTTTTAATTTTTATTTTGCGAAGGGCCAATAATTGTTGGAGACTGCACTTGTAGTAGCGTACCGTAGAACCGTCTGTCGTGGAAATTGGTTTTTAGTATCATTGTTGGCCGCATGTTTTTTAATTTTTTTTTTCCGAAGGGCCAATAATTGTTGGAGAAGTATCAAAATCGCGAGAAGTATCAAAAGCTTTGCGTTTTTTTGAAGAGAGCTTTTTTTTTTTAGTATCCACTCAGTTTCTTTAGCTAGCTCATCTTCACCGTTTTCGTATATGTATTTGATGAACATTCATACTAGAAGGTTTGCTTCATTACTCAAAGGCTTGCTACTAGGTTTTAGTTCTTCGTTTTCGTTTTTTAACCCTATGTTATCTTTATGTAACTGATTGCACATTGCTTTCGAAGTTCTAAGCCTCTCACTTATAAGTGAATTAGTTGTTTCTAATTCTCTATATATTGGATATTAGAAATATGTTGTTTGGTTGATAATGAAGTTTGAATTAGAATTTTGTTATTTGTTTTGAATGATTTTTACCATATGCTACCACTAATCCAACGAATTCGAAGAGAAACGTGTTGACAACATCGATGTCTCCTACGGCGATACACCCACGAATTACCAAAGATTTGATTTTGGTTTTAGTTTTTCTTCCTTGAACAAGTTAACACACCGCAATCATTCGATCAATTATTTGAGGAACTGTATATTTATGTATGAGTAGAAAATTTTTGTTTTTGTTTGAGGAGAACACAAATATGTCTAAAACTTGTATATAATATATTGATTTTGTTCGCTAAGTTATGAAGTTACGAAGTAACTTTTATTTATTGGTCCCAGAAAAATAGTTCTGTGGTAAGTTTTAAATAATCTTTACGCATTGAGAGTTGAAGTGAGAGTTACTACTTCGAGCGTATCAACAATTTTGCTATATTAATTTATTATTATTTCAAGCATCCAATGAAGATGATTGCAGATAACGAGCAATGTGGACTATTACATTATTATGAATTCTGGTTTAGAAATTCGAAAAAAAATATATATTTTTTTGTGAATATTTTTATTTTAAGAAAATGTCCCTAATAGGATTTTTCGAAATCAAAATTTGCCGGGTTACAGCTCATTTTGTGATGCGCCGACAAAACCGTTTCGCAGCCCGTGACAACTTTAAACTCGGTTTTGTCATAACTACTTTTCTAGAAATGATGTGCATCATATCTCAAGTTCTACTCAACCGATTCACATGAAATTTTGACATTTCTTATACATTATAGTATCGCACTATGAAGAGCTTTCGAAAGAATTTTTTTTTTATCTTTAGAAAATTCCGAACCACAAAAAAAACGGAAAATCGAAGCTTTTTGTTTCAAACCTCCACCATTTTGTAAATTTTTTTTTTTCAAGAATGTTTCATAGTACGATAGCTACATTTTAATTCTTCACGGATTTCGCATAAATTTTCATATTAGGTCAGGGAAAGGATTTATATCCTGCACATCAGGATAAGCCATTTTTTCATCAGTCACTACTTCGCCGACCTGCAGTTTAAAAAATTTTTTTATTTTATTTTTTTTTGTTTTGTATTCTTAGAATATCAATAAAAAGGCATGTAAAAAAATGGATAGTCAAAAAAATTCTGGTTTCTAAACTAGAATACGCCCTTAAAATTGTGTGAAATATCTTAATAATAAACTATGAAATGGAAGGGTTTCAAAACTTATGCCATTAAAATAAACTGTTTGTTGAATTAAAAAAAAAACATCTAATTTAATTTATTTTAGGGTTGCTAGAGTTAGCACATCGAGAATACCAAGCTGTGGATTATGAAAACGCAGAAAAGCATTGTATGCAATTGTGGAGACAGGATAGCACAAATACAGGTGTTCTATTGCTTCTTTCATCAATTCATTTTCAGTGCCGACGTTTAGATAAATCTGCTCAGTTTTCAACTCTTGCAATAAAACAAAATCCTCTATTGGCCGAAGCTTACAGGTAAGTAGTATATGCTTTGTAAAAATAATGATAATAAAGGTTGATGTTATAAAATATATATCTGCAAATGTGTAAGATGTTTAACCAAATTAGTAGAACGTGTTATATTAGAAAAAGTGGGGAATAAGTGAGGAAATCAAGTTTGTCGGTTGTCATTCACTCAAAAACAAAAGGTTCTTCCGCCAATAAAAAAGATTGTAAGTAGTATAATTCATATGACTGATACCCAACGTGAACGGTTGTGTTTTGTGCTATTGGTGGTTTTTTTTCTATTCTCTCACACCCTTTTCGTAAGTGCATTCTAACATCAAGAACTTTCATTTAAAGCACGTGTAAAAGAATGTATATATTATAGTACATTGAACAACAAGAAACATGCCTCCAGGGGGTCACTCCCTTGGTGATAACAGGTTCTCCCTGTTATCTGGTACCAGATAATTCCAACAGTCATAATTTTCACACTGATTTCAACACCTAAAAAAGCCAAACAATCTCTGAAAACTACAATAACCCATTTCTCTCACCCAGAGCTGTCCAAGCAGATGCTCCCATCACATTAAGTGAATTCGATGCAACAATTTCAAAAATTTCCTATCCCATCCTTAAAAATCTCCCTCGATCCCTTAAAATACGAATAATTTTTCTTTACAATAAAATCCTCAATGTGGGAATCTATCCACAGGAGTGGAAGACAGCTTCCATCCTTCCCATCCCCAAGCCCAATAAACCTACTTCTCAAATAGAAAATTATAGACCCATTGCCTTACTTCCTTGCATGTCCAAAATTCTGGAGAAAACAATATCTGTAAACTTTATGTGGTTTGCCAAAGCAAACGCTTTTATAAAACCCCAACCATTTGGCTTCTAAAAAGTTTAGGAGTAACTGACGCTCTTTTATTTTTCGAACACTATGCCTCTACGGCTTTGTCAAACCGAAATTTCTGTGCTAAATTTAGACTTTGAAAAGCATTTGACAGGATTGGACCTCACATGGTACTCAGGGAACTTAAAAAATGGAATGTTGGCGAAAAACTATATAATATAATAAAATCGTTTTGAGCCACCGCAAATTTTTTGTTATTGCTAATATGCATAAATCCGGCCTACACGATCTGTTTAATGGTATACCACAGGGATCACCCCTTTCTGTTGCGTTTTCTATTCAATGAAATAAGTACAATTATAAGTTCTACTGTAGCTGTCAAATGTGTTTTAATATTCTCTCAAACTCAAGATCTAAACCAAGTTAAACACATATTTTTTTAAATATATTGAATAAAATAAATAATTGCTCAAAAATTTCCGGCTCTAATATATCGCCTAGCAAATGTAAAACTTTTAACATATGTCGGAAACAAAAGTGCTCCTTTCCTAATATATCCTTTTCTAACGTTGATCTCCCACATACTAATAAATTAAGAATCTTAGGACTTATATTCCACAACAAATTAACTTTCAAAGAGCATTGTAAATATGTTAGAGTAAGTATTTTTTCTAGATTGAATATAATTAAATTCTTATCATCTAAATACTGCTTAGTACATACAAATACTCTTGTCAATATAACGAAAGCTTTAATATTATCTAAAATTGACTTCGGACTTTGCGCTAATACAAACATTAAGCTCTTGAACGCACCCTACCACGCAGCAGTTAGAAGAAGTATTCGCGTCTTCCCAACGTCACCAATTAAGGCAATTCTATCAGAAGGTGGATTACCACATATAAACTACCGGACCATGCGTAACACCACGATGCTTATACCGAGGCTACTTCACTGCAAAAATGAAATCTTAAGACCAGTCGTAAGCCGTCTACTATTCTGAGTTGCTTAAGTCTAATTCAACAGCTGAACATCGTAACCACCATCACTTCTTAAAACTTCAGAGTATCCTCCAAGTGCGCTTCCAAATTCAGCACTCATCAACACCCTACTTAAGTACCCAAAATATTCTATCAGCAGTAATGAGTACAAACAAATGTTTAATGCGGTATTAGAGTCCTTAAATGATGATTGGAACTTGTATTATACGGACGGATCCAAGTCAGACACCAGCACAACGTTTGCTGTGACAAACCAGCTAGGTGTTACTATTATGGTCGGTTCCCTGCCATCCTACTGCTCGGTATTTATTGCCGAAGCAGCCGCAATATTTGAGGCAGTACAATTTGCTTCTCGAATGGGAAATAAATGCATTATTTGTACCGACAGTAGATCTGCAATTGAAGCTGTTTTTAATACCAATAATGAACCTTTAATATCCAATATTCGTAGCATGCTATTGTAAAGCAATAACATTATAAAAATAATGTGGGTGCCTAGCCATATCGGAATTTAGGGCAACGAAATTGCCGATAATAAAGCTAAAGAAGCTTCCAAACGACCACTTCACTTCTTTGACTATTTCACCGATAAGGATTTACGCAGACTTGTTGAAACACGCGTAAATGAAATCCAAGTAAGAGAATGGAGTAATCACGATCACCACTACAAAAAATCTAATCCTGCGGGAACAAAGCATTTATACCCAGTAAAAGCGACTTGTAAAAATATAAGGACATTTATAAGACTTCGAATAGGACACACAACTGCTACACATGCTCACATCTTAAATGGCGTAAATAAAAAAATTGCGTGTTCTGCGGATCAAATGATCTCACAGTTATACACCTCCTCGATACCTGTCCGGCACTTCAACGAATCAGAGCTAATGTTTTTTCTAACAAAAAACCTTCTTTATATCTAGAACGGACTGATGACAGTAACATAGAAATCATATCTAAATATATTTCGCTTTGCAAATTAAATATGTAGTTTAGTTACATACATGCACCCATTTACTTTTGCTTTGAAATTTATCTTTTTATTGTATCTAAATTTACGTTATTCAAATCGATCTCAAATGTGAATATAATAGACTAAGATTTTATAACATAAGCTGGCAAGCCAGTGCTTTACATCTATAAGTGGAACGATTATTTATAATTATTTCTCATTTAAATAAATAAATAAAAAATTATAATTCATATGCAAATTGATTGAATATAATTTGAATTAAAAATTATAAATAATGTTATTTGTCAATAAATAAATGACACATTAACAAAAAGCATAAAGTTAATAAAATTTTGAGTCATATTTCGTCGTACGCTACATATTTATGTAACCAATATAGATTATTATTATATTATACACCATAAAGTTGTTTTGAAACTTCACATTTAATAATTTGAGTCCATCATTTAGAGTTACTTTTATTATACCAAAAGGGGAATATTTCTACGTACGTCTACGTGCTAAACCCTTAAACTCCGTAAGCTTCGGATCTACCTTGCGGGACTACCGTTGCTAATAAAATGTCTGAACAGGGAAAACATCAATTTGGCATATATTTTACGGGTTAACGTTTGCGCCAATACCGGTAGTACATATAACATTACTGATTGGGTACCTTTTGCCAAAAGTAACCGTCTGTCTTGGTTTGGTCCACCTATGTTGGCCATAATTAGTAATAAGTCTGATGGACTAGTGTAACTTTTTCACAGGTTTTTCAATGTGCATCTTTTAGTTGATTCTCGCATCAATTACCACACCCAAGTATTTTAGTGGTGGCTGGGTTGTAATTTTATACCCGTCAACGGTTAGATGCATTGATGTAACTCCTTGGCTAGTATTGCCCCAGCAATAGCGTGAGCGTATCTGATTATTATAGCCTCTATTGTAGAGGAAGCCGCCGGTACACCACACCATATAAAGTATATCTTTTGATTCATTTGTCAGTGTCGTATAACAGCAAGATGCCTGTTTACCTTTTTATAATCTGCAATAAATATGCCTGAGTTTTGAGATTCTGTAACGCTCGTATTATGTGGGGTCCGTGCACTGAGTTGAATGCATTTTTCACATCAAATTTGATGATTTGGCTGTATTTTTTGGTGTCATGCATCAAATTTGCAACTTCAATAGTTTTTATCTAATATACCGGTCAACTTTTTGATTGCATCGACAGTCGAGCGGTTTCTGCAGAAACCATATTTGTTGCTAGATAATCCATCTTCAACTTCTAGGTGTGCTTCAAAGGCGTTCACAAATTTGTCATTCCAGAATTTTAGCAATTGTGTCTAACTTGCACAGTGGTCGATACGAACTGGGATCTCCAACTGTTTTGTTTGGCTTCTGTATCAAGACCAAACATTGATGATTATACAATCTGATTATACAATGTGTGTTTCAAAGTAAACAGGACTTTAAAAAAAACAGAACAAATGGTTTCGCTTAAATCAATTTATTTTCATCAAAAAAGTCTCCTTCTGCTTGAATACAGCTTTTAGCACGGTCGAACGAGTGTTTTTGCTCGTTAACCGGTACGGCCGCCAGTATGCCGGTGGAAGCCTTTTGAATGGCCTCTACGTGTGCATAACGCTTTCCTTTCATGGACAAATGCCATTTTACGAAAAGGAATAAGTCGCGCGGTGCCATATCAGGAGAATACGGGGAGTGGTTAATGGTTAAAATGTGATATTTTGTCCTTTTTGACCTCTTTAATGATGTCCTTCGAATGTTGGATTCTGAACAATTTTTGGTCGTCAGTCAATTCCTGCGGAACAACCCTGTACACACCTTTCGTAAGCCCAAATGATCGGTCAAAATGCGATAAATCGATGTTTTGGAGCTGTTCAATTCAATTTCAATGATGATTTAGGCTGATTTTTGATGAATTCACGCACAGTTTCGGTGGAGTTTCCGGTGATCACAGACTTTGATTGGCTCACGTGTTGATCGTCATTTATGTCCTCACGACCACTTTGAAAACGTTGAAAACACTTGTGCACTCTGCTACAGATAAGACGTCATCGCCATAAACTTGTTTCATCAATGGAAACGTTTCGGTTCATTTTCGCATCGATAGCACAAACATGCTGATACTTAAAACGCAATAACTTCACATCCAATCTATGAAATGTCATGAAATTCTCACTAGACAATCGATAAAGATAGC